CCCAACCGCCTCCTGCTCCGGCTTCTCCTCCCCTTCTCCAGGGCTGGGGCGTGAGGGGGCCCGGAGAGCCGGCGTCTCCGTCCCCCGCGTCCCAGCAGGGAAGCTTGTACAGCCCGCTCAGCGCACACGCTTGGCACTTGCGAGTGTGAGCTTTAAGGCTCCCCTGCCCCTCCTGCAAGGTCTGGCATTGAGCGTTAGCAGCATTTTTTCCCGCAAGCAAGCTCACGAAATACTGCTTGCTCTTGAATTGCTTTACCTCAGCTTTCCAGCCGCCTGCTGCGATTGCCTCACCCCCGACCATGATGACATCCACTAGTGCGGTGGCCCTGCCTGGTGCTCAGAGCAAATAACCTCACCACTTGTTTTTTGGGGCTGCTCCTCCCTTAGGTTGGAGGAAGAGGAGCTGAGCTGCTGTGCGCCCCTTCCCTGCAGCACAACCGAACGGCCAAACTGCGCTGCAGCCACCGGAGGTGGTTGCGGTTCCCTCCCCGCTGCTCACGGGGACTCCTGCTCCTTGCACCAAGGCTGGGCACTGCTCTGGAGCTCCTCCAGGTTGCTACCTGGATCTTCATCTTGCTGGGGCAAGGTTACCCACTAGGCTTCACTCAAAAGAGATGGTGCCTTCAATCTCCCAGTCCAAACCTGGGTGCCGCGTGTGTCCCCAGGCCAGAGAGGAGACCACCCCCCCACATCATGGTCACAGAGGTCTCAGCACAACCAGCTGTGTCGACATTAGTGTCACAGCTGTAGCCAAGAGGCTGTTTTCACTGCTGTGAATCCCTCGTGGCTCCTGCCTGATGAGCACCATGGCCTCTACCTGCATCCAGCAAGATCTGGGCTCTGCTGTTCTTAGCGAGGGGGCAAAACCCATCCCCTCCGACCTTTCGTGGCCCGTCTGCACAGCCTGACCAGCAGCTGCACAGCTGTCTGCACAGCTGATGTCACCCTAGGAGTAGGAAAGGTTTAGGAAGACAAAATAGCTCTTCTGCCCACGTAAGCTCAGTTTCTGCTATGGGCCTTTTCATAGCCCCAGCCCATGCACAGGCACCGGGGCGCATTTAAACAGTCTCTTTTGAAGACATCTGCAGCCAGATTCAACAAACATTTTTCTCATCCTCATTTGGGATTTAAGACAACAAAAACAACTGACAGCATCTACCCTGCAGCCGGGAAGGGGTTTTGCCCTTCCTCATCTGGAGGTGGCCGTGCACATTCAGCCGCCTGCCCTTCCTGCACAAAGGCCGGACGAGACAACCCTGCCCCCGTGGCGAGAGCAGATCCAGGAAGGTTTCGTGCCAGTGCCTGGCAGGCGGCACGCCGCCTTCAGCGCTGCCGCTGTGCCCCGACTCCCCTGGGCAGCTGCAAGGGTGCTCTTCCCAGCTGGGTCCGGAGGCACCTTTCAAAGCCCCTTCCACTACACCTCAGAAGCTGCAAGTCCCAACTGCAAACTGCTTGGCTGCTTGGGAGTTCCCCATGTTACACAGACAAATAATAATTTGGCGGGTAAACGATTTGCCAAATAGCATTTTGCTGCAGTGATCCAGACAGATCACGCACATCTAACTTGATTTGCCAAAATACATGACTCGCCTAGACCACAGGGAAGGAACACTGGGGCTGCAGGGGCTTTGGCTGCCACATCTCTAGACAGAAGCTGGCAGGGGTGACATTTCTTTTTTTGTGATCTCACCCATCTCATGAATCAATGCATGGCTGCGCTGACCTGACCTTGCTGCTGAGCCAATTTTGCACAGAAAGTGCATTTGTCTTGGTCGTTTGCGCTTCCAGGAGCTCCCATTTCTTTAGGGCTTAGAACTGTTTTCACTTTGGGAGTAGTGATAAATGGCACTTTGCAAATGGGTCATGAAGTTACTCTGGGCCTCAGGATGCCTTGTAGGCACCCCCACCTCCCAAGGAACCTCCCTCCGCCTGTTCCCCCCTTCACCCTCCCGAGCCATTGCCACAAATGTCTTTAAGATGACATCAGGCAGGCAGATCTACAGGACTAACATGCATAATAAACTTAATAAACTTGATTCTGGGTATTTGGAGCAGTAATAGTGCCTTATTTCCTTAGCTACTATATGTTTTCCTTGGAATAATACCGCGTCATTCTCCCATGCACAATTCACAGGCTGGGTGCCCTCATTGCCGTCTTCAGCAGTGATTTACCAATGGTGCTGCTGTTCTCAATCAATATTCCCAGCTTTAACTCCGCAACACACCTGAGAAAAATAGGATTTGGTAGTTTCTTTTCCCTCCGTTCCATGTTTTCATCTCCTGTCTCTGTATTTCCACTCGGCAATTTCAGTTTTCCTGCTCTCTGGCCTCCTTTCAGAAACCACGTCTCCTGGATTAGCAGCTCATTCGTCCCCATGGTTCACTAATTTCACTCATTCCACAATCGTGCCAGCAATGTTACATTAAATCTCTACATCCTGCCCTCGTCTTCCCGTCTCTCCTCCGCCTGCCCCGGCCACATAGGCTCTCCCTGCTGCTTGCATCTGCTGCCGCAGCGCCCAGGACCAGGGTGCTCTCCAGCAAATGCCTTCCAAACCCCCTGGTCCTCCTGCGGCCCCCGCAGCTGCGCTCCCCATGCCTGCACTGCCGGACTCCCATCCCGGCCCTCCCGCTACGCAACGTGCCATGGCCAAGCCTCCTGCCCTGCCTCGGCCCCGTCCCTCAGCACACATCTCCCCTCTCTTCCCTGGCTCCTTACGCCATGGCAGACCTGCTCATCTTCACTGTTCATCTCCTTCTGCCTCCACCCCCTCCTCCTCTCTGCAGTGACCCCGCACGCTTTGCCCACATGTTCCCGGGGGATGAGAGGCAGGATTAGGAGGCTGGGGCAGCAATAACAGGAAGCATCTGTTCATAAGAGAATAACACAAAGCTGCAACGACTTGGGACGACTGCCCCACAGCCCTGTGCTCCCACGCTATCCTGTGCATGCTCACAAGAGTATTCTTCCACTGACGACCGCTGCAAAAGGTACCGCTGCCCACAGCCAGCACAGATAACCACGGAGCAAAGCGGAGAGGGTGCGATATAGGTGCTGGTTTTGCCTGCCACACTGCTAAGGGGCACAGATGGATGTTAAGTTAGATATGGCTACAAACCCAACTCACGATGTTCCTCGATGTCGTTCTCCGAATCGGTGAACTGGGCCTTGTAGTAGGTGACACCTCGGACGATGGTGGGTCTGGAAGGAGGCCGGCTCCTTATGTGCAGTTTCCTCTGCAAGAGTTGCTTTGACTTCTCGTCCTCTGGAACAAGGTGCAGCTCCGGGAGGGACTCGACGGAGTTGATCTGCTGAGAGATGGTTTCATCTTTCAGGAATCTTTCTTCATATTTTCCCTGGAAGAGACACAAGAGGTTGTTACATGATTGGCCAAAACACACAGCCGTGCTTTGGGGGAAGGGGCATGGACGCCGCGTGGGTTACTCTGGCCAGCCAAGCTCTGGGGAGGATGCTGTGTCCTCCCTCATTTGTCAAGGTCACCTGCAGTGCCTTCAGCCATGGGAAAGCCCTAGGTAATGACTGGAGACAAATGACTTGGGAGACCAGTGTTGCCACTGCATGACCTTGTGTGCCACCCTGCAAACACAGGCTCCGCAGTTCATAAGGCACGTGCTAGATGGATGTGGCAGACGGGATGTATAGGCTGCGCGGGGAGATCCCAGCCCCACTGCCTCAGGGCTGGCAGCAGCAGGATACGCGGACTTACTGCTCGAGGCTTCGGCTCCCTGCAACAGCTCATGCACGTACCAGATGAGCTGCCACTGTCTCACACCCGCAGGGCGCCTCCTTGCAAACCGAGGACCTGCTGGGGCTAGTGTCAGCGCTGGATCACCAGACCATCACGCAGACAGCTGGGCTCTGGCACAGCAGCTCCCGTCGGCTATCCTTTAGCATGTCCACTCACTGCCTCTGTCTCAGGCCCATTCTTACAACACGTCTGCTGCCTGCGGAGCAGGTGGTGTTTTAGGGAAATGTTCCTACCTCTGGGACTGTAACAGCCGACCATGAAGCAATAAAGCCAGCAGAGACAGACTGACTTTACCCAGGGGAAAAGGATCTGGATGTGACAGCAGACACCAGGCTACGCCCTAAAAGGACACATTTCCCTACCATTGCCCATGATGCAAGAGAAAAGGAAAATGATTCAATTAGGAGGAGAATCCAGGCCTGGAAAGAGGCTGGAGACACCTTCCCAGAGGGGCTGGGAGCTCCTCGGGGCCAGCTCTGGGAACCCAGCGCTTCGGCAGCCACCAGCTGCAGCAGCTCATGGCTGAACGATTTCGTTTCATTAAAGGAAAACGGAAAGACAGCCTGAAACATTGAAGTGACGCCCGCTTGGCTTAGAAGACAGGCCCAGGATTCCTTCGAAGCCCTGCTGCAATTAACAACAAGGGGAAATTTTGGGAAATGAGGTCACTTGGGGTAATAAAAGCCCTGTGCTTTGCACTCCTGCCTGGACAGGGCTGGAGCCTCTCCAGCAGTCACTTGATCCTGTTCCCATGCAGAGTCTCTGCTGAGGTTATGACACAAAACGAGCCTGGCGTGAGCACTTGAAGCCTGGCAATGGGAGGCAAAGCCATTTAGCAGCCGCGTCCTCCGCTCTTTGGGCAGAGCGGGCTGCTAAAGGGCTGTTGTCCACGCAGTTTGGTCTCCTGGGGCTACTGCCCCAGCTGAGGCAGCGGAGAGGCTGGCTGGGAGCAGCAGCAGGGGTGGTGGGGGCGCGAATGCTGCTGCAGTTTGCTAGGAGCTCTCTGCTGCGGGGGATAGCCTGCCGAGGCGAGCACGCCAGTACCTCAGGTTGGGTGCGTTTTCCCACCCACAGACCCGTGGTATAGCTGTGGGAGCCAGCCCTGGCCTGCCCTTCTCCTCCCTGGGGCTCAGGAAACCCACCCCTACCAGAGGACCCAAAATGCCTGTTCTCAACCCATCAAGGATCATTTTTTCCGGAGGCTCCTGTCCCATAGCTGACCTGCACGCCCTGGGCAGGCAGGCCAGCCTCCGGACGTCTGGGGGTGCAGCAAAGCCGAGAGCTGGATTACGTGGGGGACAGCCACCAGGCAAACTGCCGGAGGAAACCCTCTTCCTCCGCGGAGCCCGGCCCCTGCACCTAGAGGGTGGGAAGCTCCCATGGCAAGGAGCAGGCGTTCCTCACCAGCTAGCCCAGGAGCTGAACATCTCCTCCTCGTCCGGAGCCAGGAAACGACACGGGAATGTGGCATCTTCTTCTGCCCTTGGGGCTGCCTCTGAGGCCATTCCTCCCCCCGAGACGCCTCCTTTTGCCCCAGCGCAGGCGTCCCCGGAGGCAGGGCAGGGAGCAGCCAAGGCCACGCGCCAGCCAGCATGGACCCAAGCAGCAAGAGGCCACCTCAACTTATACCACCGACAGCAGCAAGGGCGCCAGGATGCCCTGGGAGGGACCCGTCCCCAAAATGCCCCTCACGCTCGACCCAGCGGCGGTGCAGAAATCGCTGCCCCCCACGGAGCGGTCCCCACGTTGGGAGCCTGCCGGGACCCCTCC